CAAATTTTGATGCAAAATTTATACACCAACAAGAGAAAATTATTGCTCAAAATCCATACAAATGCAAATACCATTATAATCAAAAGCAAAACCAGAGAAAAATGTTCAACAATGAGTCATCAAAAAAACAAGAAAAAAACAACCTTTTTTTTCTTCATATTTCAAAATCATCGTTGTATTTACACCACAGTTAAATCAAATCAAATCAAATGAAGAAGGAAAAAAAAATATACATAGACAGCAAATAAACATATAAGCAATCTGTGTATCTCCTTCTATGGTTTCTATGGTAATCAACGACCTCAAAATTATCGACAAACAAACAATGCAAATATGCAGCAGTCACTAATCTTTAGCATCTCCTAACTGTTCACTTACCAGCAAAAAGAAGATAAGGAAGAGGAAAAAACAAAATTTCACTATTTTTTAATCTCAGAAAAAAAAAACAGGCCATTTTTCTTCTCCAAAATTATACTAATGTTTTGCTTTAATAATTGCTTTTCAGGTTGCCTACCTGAAAATTTTCATTGTTTTTGTCACTTTATTTTGTTCTTGTAAGATTTTGTTAACATTTGATTTATTGTTGATTACATAGTTCTAATTAGACGTTTAGAACAAAATAAAAGATAAGTTTAATAAGAAAAATTTGGTACTCTGCTATCTTAAACGTTGGAATTGAAATCGGGCACTGATTCTACGAGCACATTTTCTGTTAACCGACGAAACCGTTTGCGCAATTTCCTCATTGTGCTTTTGAAAACTTAATTTGAAAAGTTTAGAATTTACATTTGAAATGAGTGAGAATCAGAGCGATGAAGACAGTCCTGATGAAGAATCGGATCATCAAGAAGACGCTAAAGATGAAGATTCTGTGACTTCAACGTCTTCATCTTCACAAAAGTCTGGTTCCATCTTATCCTTGACTGCCCTTTTTTCCTATTTTTTTGATTTGCTTATAAATAAAGACAATATACCGTTTATTTTAGTGAACAAAACTACAGTCCAGCAACAGTTTCAACAAAGTCACGGCGAATATCAGGTTCAGGAACATCGTTTGATGTAACTTTTTAACAATACTACTTATGCTGCTGCTCGCTTTAATCTGTTATTTTTTTGTTACATCTTAGTCAACAATATTTTCAAAGAATTAAAATACAATTTTTGCGGTTACTTTTCCAAAAAAAAAGATTTGTTTAGTTGTAATATAGCTGGCAATTGAAAGTAAATTTAAATGTTTGGGCCTGCAACTTTTTTTTTTGTTGTAAAAACTATGTTTAATTTCAGGCATGGCTAAGGAAGAAGAAAGAAGCGGAAAATAAACGTCGACAAGCACAGAAATTGAAGGATGACGCTGAAAAGCAAGTCAGTAGTTTTTGTTGTAGCTTTTCGTTTTCGATATCTTCAGAATTACTCTCGTAAAATTTAAAATTTTTTATCAAGCAGCTGGGTTGAGTACTACTCACAATAGCTTTTTTCTGTCAAATAAACTGAATTGAATGAAAAAACTGAAATAAAACTTTTCTTATCAATAATCAAAAAACTATTTATCCAAAAAACAGTTTTTTGCTCATAACATTTATCGGTCGACGGTAAAACATTAAAAAATATGCTGTAGTTAAAAAACCAGAAAAGTCTTTGGATACCTCCCTTAAGAAACTGCTCAAATGTTTAATAGACAACTAAGACTAGTTCCGGCTTTTTTGTGAGTATCAGTTGTTTTCATAATTGTTTTACTTAACAGTGAATTTTATAAAAATTTATGAAAATAATTTACTAAAAAAAGTTGGAAAATCTTCTTCATTTTCAGCAGTCATTTTTTTTCATTATTCTGACCTTTAATAGTTCTTTTATCTCCTTAGAACTTAAACTTTTATTTGTATATGAATACACTATTATGAATACACCAATCACTTTGCTTTTAATATGAATACACTAATCACTTTGCTTTTTAATAATTTAACTAATAAAATCATAAAGAAATTCAATAAGATATAGTTTACTAGATATATGAAATTTTTTTGACTTAAATAGCTGCTTCTGTTTGCAAAATCATTAAATCTGTAAACAAATTTTTTGCACAGAAAATGGAACAGCGAAAAGCAGATGCCAAAAAATGCTACGAAAGTTGGAAGAAAAATGCCGATAGAGTGGCAAGGGAAAAGAGGAAGCAGGAATTGGAGCAGAAAGAACGACAAAGGAAAAAATTGGAAGATGAGAAAAAAGAAAGAGAGCAAATCAACAAAAAGGTTTGATACACGGTTCGATTTACCTGTAACCGGAAGTATCAGAAAGTTGCCGGTGCCTATCCGATGTAGCTTTCTGAGCTTCAATTAAAATAAGAGCAAAAAATTGTTTTGCAGTAATACTGAAAATACTGTCATCTGGTTGTCTGATTTCGAGTCAGTTTAACTCATACATAAAGTTAAACATTTTTAGCATAGATTAATATTCTTACCTCCTCTTTCATTCTAACTTCTTTTATAGCGAACATTAGAAAAAAGCGATTTTTTAGTCACCTGCTTCTTGTTGTTTTGTAATTAAACTTTTTATTTTGTAAAATCAGTGCGAGTTGCGATCCAAAATTGCTCTCGCAAAAAACTTTGTCTAACATAAATAATGATGAAGACATATCTTATTCGACTAAAAGTAATCAAAGTTAAGGCTTTCGAGGAGTGGAAGAAGAGACATTCAGAAAATGGGTACTCTTCGAACACAGAAATAATGGAAGAAGAATACAATTCTGATAATTTAGGCAACAGTTTTTGTGACAGAATTCAAGAAGCTCAAAAAGCTTATCAACAATGGTAGGTTGTAATTATCTTCTAGTTTCACTTGCTGATCTTTGTCTTAGAAACTAGCACATTTGCAACCAAATTTTTTCAGTAATTAAGATCGGTTTGCAAGCGTACACTATCAACTTGATCTTGACTTTGAGAACCATATGCTCAATTGTTGACATTTTCTAACATTCGAATTTAACGAGTGCTTCTTTAGCCTGTCTAATTAGTAGTTAATTTTCAAAATTAGAAAAAAGGTGGTCTTTAAAATGTTGGCAAAACAGAACAGCTTAAAAGAAAAAAATGTTAGCAATTGTCTATTATCAAGTGTAAAATATTTTTGCTAAGAAGACCTGTCTATGTTGTTTTTAATTAATGGCTTAAGTTTAAAAATATCTATAAACATAACAGAAAAACTCAATACCATTATTTTATAAAAAAAAACTCTACAAAAAATTACAACTTAAATGTTCTTCAATTAAAATTAAAGTTGAGACAAAAGTTAAATTGAAAAATACCATCTAAAACAATAGTTTCTATTTTTGTTTTTCAGATTTTTAATTATTTTTTAATTATTTTCTGTCTAATCAGCAGTATTTATTTTAGTTTGTTGTACAGTAGAAGTTTTGCTGTTTTTTACATTACTTTTTTTGTAACTTTATTACTTTTTGATATTTCAAAACATTGTTATCGATTTATTACCATTTAATCTTATAAAAAAACTTCTAAACACTTAACTACTTTCAGTACCCCTATTTTTGCCTCTGCTTTTTTTCTGTTTTTTTGGGTTTTTCAAAAGTTTACTTCATATTAAGGTTTGTAATTCAACAGTTTGGTAATGAAATGGTGAATCAAAATCTGGACAGTGTAAAAAACAGACAGCTTACATGAGGTGACCAAAAAGTTCAAGTTTTTAATTTTGAACAGTTATATTATCACTGCTGGTACACCATTGTAAATTTGTTGTTTTTTTTCCTACAATTTGTTCAGTCTTTCACGTTCCTATAGAAGTTATACAAATAAATGATTAACCGTCATAACTTCTTATCTTTTAGATTTTTTTAAAATTTTCTACCTCTTTTTAGCAAGAAAAACCAACTATTTTTTACATGTATTTAAACAATAAACAAACATCTTTCTGTTAAATGTTCGAAGAAACAATTTTCTCAAAAGTCGTTTTTTATCTTCGACAATGCTCTCTGACAATTCCTTTCTTCACCATAATGACGACCATATAACTTCCTGATTAAGCAACGATTGCAAATTGATCGATAGGCTACACCAATATCAGCTATTCTAAACTATTCTTTAACACTTTCTTACCCTTACTGTTTTCACCTACTGTGCTTTACTCATAACTGACCTTTACATCACAATGCTTTAACATATCTCACTTGCACCTAAAATGCATGAAAGTTTCAAGATTAGTACTTTCTTTCACTCACTCATAGAACTAACTGTATAAAATAACAGTCCTAAAGAACCAAACGTAAAACGGCAAAACTTTCAATTCGTATGCTGTTTATAGCATTGATTGTTGGTGCAATAAGTAACTGTTCTGCAGCTCCAAATCTGTTGATTAATTTTCTTACTAAAAATTTAACTTTCTTCTGAGGCTACTACATTAACACTAAGACTGCACAGTATTTGTAACTTTTAACCAGAAAAGCACTGAAATCATTTTTGGTGTGACTGAAGGTCAGACCTACACATTTTAGCTGAATACTTTGCACAAAATCAGTTATTTGATGTGTGGTAGTAAACTGAGTTTCTTACGTAAGGCAGCTTCAAGAAACAGCAATTTTAGGTATTTCAGCTTAGTCTCATTTGGTGCTTACGTAAATTTCAAATTTAAACGAATTATAATTAAATTTTCGTAATTTTGTTTTTAAAAAAAAAAAATCAAATACATCGTTATTTATGCTAAACAAAAACAGCTACTTCTTGGTTGCTTTACTGCAAAAAACCACTTGAATCAGGTCGCTAAGCAATACTAAAATTTACAAATGACTCTATGTCTGCACCTTTCATTATTCTTCTTTATTAAAACGCAAATAAATATTATTTTAATAAATACTAATCAACAGCTGTCTCGAACTCAATGATTAAGTAACTTCAACCATTTTTTTTTCTAATTAACGTCTTTTATTTTTCGCAACATTTTCTCACCACCTGCATATGTCTTTCATTTCCTTCTCTTATTTTCAATAGCAATGCTCGTGTAAAAGTAAAAAACAGGATGAAATATAGCACCTTAACACGAAACGATAAGTCCGAGGAACAACGGAAAGGAAAGAGTGAAAAAGAGTAGGACTTTGTTTGAAAACAATTGTTTTCTAGTTTCTTTCTTTCATTATTCTATCAGAAGAGGAAGTGGGAAACTTAAAGTTACAATTTTTCTCTAATTTTTTTTTCACAGTAAAAAACTTGAGAAGCAACAGGGTTACAAGTGGTGGATAGTGAGAATTTGGAATGAAGAAGTGCGGAATTTTGAAACCACTTCAAAGAACCGTTGAAAAACACGACAAAAGAAACAGACTTGTACAAAGAAATAATAAAACGGTAGTAGGACTGTCAGAGTAAAAAAAAGAAAAAAGAACACATCACTTAAAGTCAATAACAACCGAATTAGAATTTAAAACCATTTGTTGTATGCAAAAGAGCCGTCATAGTTGTCGGAAAATTCCATATGCATAGTGTCTGCTTTTGTAATATGTGAAAATGTAGTTTGTCTTTTTTTTTTTTTT